AAAAGAAAGAGAGAAGAATTGTTCCAAACGATTACAGATATCCGTTTCGCAAATGACACATTTCTGTTTCGCAAATTACAGATTTCGAGTTTGTTCGCAAATTACAGATTTCAATTTCGTTTCTTATCGCAAATTACAGTGAGCCCTCCTTACCAACCAGCAAGAAATAAAACAACGGTTAGATGATGAGCTTCATTGCTGTAGCTTTCTTGCGTAAATCGAAAAGTTCTGCTTTTTCCTTTTCCACCTTCATTTAACTGAATGCCTTTCTCCCACAAATAAATTTACATCCTGCCACATTAAGTTTCGATAAAGTTTCGCCCATTTTCACTACCACATCACTCATTATTTATGCCGATGAGAGAGACTTCCCACTTGGCGTTTTTTCGCGCCGCAATTTCGGCACCAGATCACTGAAGGGCGAGAACTCGGAGATGGCTTTCTCCCTGCGTTGAACGCAATAATTTGCCGTCAGTGTTCCGTTCTCAGAATTTTCAAACCTTGGCGATTTTACATTGCCTTATTGCAGATGACAGCCACAAAGTTTTGACATTCACGTACACAGCTATTAAACTTCTTGTTAAAGCTAAAGATCGGTAAATACACTCTGAAATTCGAGACGGCACATCAGAGCACATCGCCCTCGAACCGTACACTTATCCGACTTCGAGTTCCTTAAATATGCAAACCCTATGCACGCAGTCTTACCTTCTACTGTTTTTAATCAATTAATCAATTAAATTTGCTGATTTCAGATCTGAGCTTTCAGTTAACTACACGCTATGTTTTGGCAGACTGTTAAATTTTTGAACAGCTATTGGTTGGGGATAGAGACATCATTCAGTTGTTGACAAAGTGAACCAATTACAGAAGAAATCATCATCTAAGGGAGGACTGGGGCTGGCATGCATAGCGAGTAAACGTGCTGGTTGATGAGTAGTTTTTCTGGCAGCCTGCATTTCATGTATATGGAAACCACTCCTTCTTTGAAACGTACAATATCACAGAGAAGCAATTCAGATTCGTCTGAGTCAAGTTCTCTGTGGGAAAAGCGTCCAAAGAGGCTAGCTGAGGAAGACGAGGTTCTCCAAGCTTTAAACATCGCCGGTAACGTTAGCGAAAAACTCGATAAAATTCTTGGAGAACTTAAGAAATTGGAGAAACTTGATGCAATTGAGGCAACGTTGAAGGATTTAACAAGCAGACTGGGGAACGTCGAATCAACTATCGACAAGACGAAAGAAGACGCACGTGCTGTGGATAGTTCGATTACAGGTATGGATGAGAGTCTTACACATCTCATCAAAGAAGTTGAAGAGCTTCGTGGAACGGTAGAAGACAAGGATAAGCAAATTGAATATTTACACATGCAACACCTTTATCTCGAATCGTACTGCAGGAGAGAAAATCTAAAATTTTTTGGCGTACCGGAAAGCGAAGCCAGCGCTTCGGAGGGGAAAGATGCGGTTGGCACAATTGATGTTTTGCATGATTTTCTTCATGATGTCCTTGGCTTTGTGGATCCAAAGAGGAATATGGAGTTTCAACGAGTGCATCGGATTGGTAAATCCGTACGTGGGAAGCCCAGGCCGATATAAGCCCGTTTCTTACGCTATCAAGATCGCGAGACAGTGCTTCGTGCTGGGTTTGAATTGAAAGACACTGAGTACATGATTTTGCAAGACTTCTCTCAGGAAATCATAAAGAGAAGGCGTAAACAAATGCCCAAATTAAAGGAATTTAAGCTAAAAAAAGGGGCCAAAAAGTATCCTTTAGTAAATCGGAACCTGATAAACTCTTTATTGATGGCAAGTTCATTTCTGCGTAGGGGTTTCATCAACTGTGACCTTTCTTCGTTATGGCGAGGCTGTAAGGTGTTATCGATTGGTTATTGTATATTATAACAATATCAATAATATTGTCTCTCTGGGAGATACGAAGAATTATTTAATTAATTCCATCCTCAAGGGCAGCGATAAGGATATTTATCTTGCTGCTCTTTTAAGTTTTGTGTTTTTCAGTATTTCGTTGAAATGTAATTTTTTCGTTTTTGCTTTTGATGATGTTCTGCTTTGTGTTTGCTGTTTTTCCAAGCTATTCTGGCGCGTTAATGAGGATATATTCTTTAAGTTTGAAGGTGCCAAACTGACGCTTAACTTTTCCCACCTAATGAAGTTGTTTTTCCTTTGGGCGAAGAAGGGCGTATTTACGTTAATGTTAGTCTTTTGTCACTAAATGCTCGAGGGATTCGTACTTTTAAAGAGCGGAAAGCAATTTTTAGCTGGCTTTTAAATTCTGGAGCCGAATTTGTTTACTGCAAGAAACCTACAGTACTCAAGAAGTCGAAAATATCTGGAGAAAACAGTGGAAAGGAAACATTTTCTTTCCGCACGGTAGCAGCCACAGTCGAGGTGTACTTGTACTTGTAAGGGATAACTTAAAGAGGAAGATTTAACTTTTTGGTAACTTCGATAAAGAGGAAGATTTAATTTTTTGATAACTTCGATAAAGAGGAAGATTTAATTTTTTGGTAACTTCGATATCCTGTTTGACCATATTTTGCTTCTGTATAAGTTTTATATTTACTCTCCAGAATGATATACTTTCTCTTCAAGGTTTTATAGCCAGTACAAGGCGTATTTACAATATCGAACTCCATATTGCCGGGAAGAGACAAATTAAAGAATCACTTTAGAAAGTGGGAAAAGTTAATAAGCGTTTTTACGAATAAATGATGTCATGTTTAATTTCTATCGTTAGTTTTAAAGTGATGTCCTTGTAATTTACATACTAGGTATCTGTATTACTGAGATAGCTTTGTGTGTGTGTTTAGCTTGGTATTCTTCTACTTGTACTATATAAGTGTGTATGCTTTTTTTTTCTTTCTTAATTTCTATTTTGTATGTATACGTAAAGAATGCTTTAATAAAAATAATTTTAAAAAAATCATCTAAAACTCCTGACTGATGATGATTTCCACTACTTTTCGTAAAATAATTTTCCCAGTCACTTTCGAGGAGAATTGTATCCTCCTAAGGAATGAGACAGTGTTCTTAAATGTTTGGGCCATGAAGCCTTCTCTTGGATTAATATTTCATAATGATGAATTTAACCCTTTAACTCATATGGGTGACCAAGACAGAATTTCTCCTTACAATATCAATTCAATTTCAAACAGACAAGTGATGAGAATAAAGAAAAATATCAATTTGGGGATAATCAGTTGATCCAGCACTAAATTCTCTAAACTAACAGTATAAGAATGGTATGGTTGACAGTAAGGAGAAAGATAAATTTGATCCAGGAGTTAAAGGGTCAATGCAGTGCAGTGACCAGAAATAGGAAATGATATAGCCAAAACTTATCAATGAAAACTTTATAAGACTATTTTACTTTAATGGATATATGTTGTGCCCCTCCACTCAAGCTCTGAGAATGAGGTATTTGCAAGGGAGGGAGGATGGGTAGATTTGGACAAATGTTAGAGTAAGACTAAATCTTCAGAGTTTGGCTTTTATGGACATTTCATGTGGGTTTGATATGCAAATGTAAGTGTAAATACATTCAAAAATAATCTGTGTTCATCTTTTAATGATGCCTTTCGGTTGAATAAGGTTAATTATATTTTTGTTACAAAAAAAAAAAGTAAAGATAACATCATCCATGATTCAAGTAAATATTTTCATCTCTATAGTTCCAAGTATGAAGCATTTGTGTTGATATCCTAGGACTGCAGTTTATTACTGCTTGATGTGAGCAAAAATTAAATTAAATTTAGGCAGTTCAATGGAGGAAATTAATTTATGAAATTGGCATTGATAAAAACCATCACAAGTCAAGAAATTTTACTGTGATCCAATCTTTGTGCTGACTTAAGATTATGATAATTCCCATGTCCATCTACACCCAATGCTGCATTAGTATTTCTAAGAGGGTCCTTTAACTGATCTTACAATTTAATTACTCGTTGTGTGTCTAATTTTGTCAGGTTAGCCTCTCTGGAAGGTTTATGTCTATTGCTCAGAGTTTCCTCCTCAATAAACGTGTTACTTTTTGTAGATGAGCTATTCCTCCTCGACGAGATGAGGGAGGTTCTACAAAGAAAACATTGTTTAATATTACAATTAATGGAGTGGTTAATATTTATCAAATATGACTCAAAGCTCCAGTTAAGAAATAACTGCTAGGAGACCACTACAAGCTTACACATAAACTTAAATATAATTTTAAAGCAGAAAGTAGGATTTCCATTTTCCTGAGCACCAAAGTTGGTGGTAACCTTACTTTTAAAAGTGGTAAATACTTAAGAACTTCTCTCTAGCTTATACTTCAGCCAGGATCACTTTACAGAAAATAAGACTCAAATACTGGAAGGATAACCTAAGCTCCAGAGTTGGTAAAACAACTTACTTGTAAACTTGTACACTTCCATACTCCAAGGTCCCCCTCTCCCATCCACCTTACATGCTCTTGAGGCTCCATACATGTTATATGTCTGGAGAATATCTTTTCCACCTAGACACTGTCCTCCATTTTCAATTGCAAAGGCTGGAAATCCTTGAACTTTTGCTATGGTTGCACACTTCTTAATGGCAAATTTTCTGAATTTGTAATCATTTCCATCCAACATAGGAAATATCCCCTCTAAACTTGGCAGAGCTCTTTCTGGTTGATCCCTCCAACAGCCAATGCTAAAATATCCTGCAACCAGAACCTTACATTTTTAAATTGTTTAAGGTCACATAAAGGCTGTTTGTAAAGTGTTTTTTTGTTTGCTAAAAAGCAATCTGATCAGCCCTCAAACTATCTCAGGTCAATTAAAGACACGCCATTTGTCCAGTTTATAATTTTTCTTGCACCATGCCATTGTAGCCTGATATAGGGGACCTTTAAGGGAACATTTAAATTACTGAGATATTTCAGTGAGAAATGTTGACTTTTTTTACAATTTTTCAATTTTAATAAAGTTTGGATATAATGCACACTGTCATTCAATTCAACTCAAGAAGTGGGAAGAAACACTCAACTACATTTTGTATTTCTTCCTCCACTTCCACTTCCTGTGTGCTTTACAACACAACAGAGCACAGTGAAAACTTCTCTATTTGTTAAACATACAACACCTGTGTGATGAAAATCTTCAACATGTGCATTCCAATTGTTTAAAGTCAACTTCAATGAGAAGCTGTTGCTTCTAACACACAGGAACCACTCAGATTACATTTAATTCCCCAACTACACCCCTTGACACAAATGAAACACAAGAAAAACAAACCAGCACAGTAAAAAATCTCTGGTGTACACTAGAAGTGAAAATTGACATGAAATGAAACACAAAACCCCTAGTGCCTGATACCAGAGGGTGTATGTTGGGCAATTAATCCCTTTGAAAATGTACTTGTCCAAAGTGGGTAAATTAGTATTCAGCAAAAATTATTTAAAGTCATGGTTTATATTAGATATGTATGCTTTGTACCCTCTTTGTTTCAATCTATAACTAATTCCTTACCAGGAGCATGTATTTTCTTGGCTAATAAACCTTCAAAAGAAAAAATACTTCTTTTACACAAGGGCAAACAAAACAATAGGTTTGAAAATAAATGACAATTTTGAACCAGGGAGTCACTCTTTTTAGTCAATTAATTGAATGTTCATCATCCATAACAATCCAAACACGTAAATTTTAACACTGAACCTTACAATTTGGTTTTATATTAATCTAGTTATTAGCATATCACTTGGTTGCACAGAGATACAAAATATCTCTTCAAGTGTTGAAAAATATTTTACAAGTGAGTGGAGCTGGTGAAATATTTATCAACAGGAGAAGAGAAATGTTGTATCTCTAAGTGGCCCTGTAATATTCTATTTATTTTATAAACATCAATGAAAAGTCAAACCATTTCACTTTTGTTGTGAAAGGCAATTTGCTTTGTAACCATAGTAACTGTGTTATTTTCATGTGCAAAGATAGAGAATAATACATGTGCCCGCATAGAAAAACAACCATGTGTTAGTTTGTTTATCTACTGTTCTAATGAATGAATAAAATAGATCCAGTGTGTTGGCAGGAAAGCTCAAGATGAAAAATGCCTTAAATCATTACAGAAACAATTAATTGGCATAAATATCAATTTACAAAATCATTAGTTAGTGAATTTTTCCATATGAAATGATTTCAGGTACAAAGCCAAAAGCGGCAAGTGGCAAATCTTCCAGTTGTTGATTTTTATTCTCAGCTACAAGAAAATTCATAACTAAAGCCACTGAGTGAGTGACTTCTGAAAAACTTTTGGTTTTTCTTTTCTTATTTTGATTTCCTTCCCCTTCTGGAAAATTTTGAATTTCACTGTCTGTAAGCAAATTTTTCAATGTTTTAGCAGCCATAATCTGAGAAAATTGTGACAAAACAACTTTAGGTTGAGAATGGTGAAGGCCTAACCATTCATTCATCAATACAAAAAAGTAGAACAATACACAAGTATCATATAAGCAGCTGATTGGCTATATCAAACACACCTGAAAAATTATCATATGATTTGTCAGGGGCTTTTTTTCATTGTATACATTTAAACATAGTTAATCTTACTTTGTGGCCGTGGTGGCTCAAATTTTCTTGCTCTTGTATTATCAATAGGCTCTAGAAGAAAACAAAATTTCATTTAGACAAGCAGACTTTTTATTTATTTAAGAGGTATCCAAAATGTAACAATTACTCATCATATAGCTCAGTGTTGTTTATGATGCATAATAAAGTTTACTTCCATAAAAATACGCTTTAGCTTTTGCACATTAGGCCATTCACAGCATCTTTAAGTCAATTGTGTAACATGCTCTTCATGGTTTCTTTAAATAAAGTTCTGTTCCCATACAACAACAAAAAGACATTATGACTTATTTGCATGGCCTTCTCCAACAGCAGCTACTTTGCACATAAAGTATTATGTCACTGCAGTAAAGCAAAGGAGAAGTTTAAAATGAAAACAAGGTCACAATAATTATAATGCTTTAAATGTGAAAAATGGTTGGCTAAGATCTGATACCTGGTAGTATTTGGGCAAGGTTGTTGAGCTGAAGAGGATTAAGCAACTGCTGACCTCCAGCCGTTTTTATAAGCTGTGGTTTTACTGGCAAATTGAACTGTGGCGCTAAAATAAAAATTTCATTTACTCTGAGTAAGAAATAGTTTCTAGTTTATCCCTTAAGGGTTAAGGGTTAAGGATAATTTTAAACCTTGATCTTAAGGTTGCTTAGTGTCATCATCAGAATTCTTCTTTGATTGTATTGAATGTCTATAATTGGCAAGAAAAATCATTCCTAATCAGCTGTGATTATTCAGTTGAGGATAGTAACATCATTCAGTTATTGACAAAATGAATAAATTACAGAAGAAATCATCATCTAATATTCCTGACTGATGATGATTTCCATTACTTTTTTGTAAAATAATTTTCCCAGTCACTTTTGAGGAGCATTGTATCCTCATAAGGAATGAGACAGTGTTCTTAAATGTTTGGGCCATGACGCCTTCTCTTGGATTAATATATTTCATAATGATTAATTTAACGTAGTGCAGTGACAAGAAATAGGAAGTGATATAGTCAAAACTAATCACTGAAAACTTTATAAGACTATTTTACTTTCATGGGTATATGTTTTTATTGAGAAATTTCACACCATTTAGTGGGACTTGATTGTTTTTTTGTTTCATTTTTCTATAGTACTTCTGGATGTTTCATGCTTTTGTTTAACAATCAAGGGCATGAATATCAGTTAGAGCCATTACTACATGCATTAACCTGTCTTCCCCTTGGGACCTTGAATTGGGTAAGCTAATTAATAGTATTTCTGTCACTTAACCAATACTCTTACAGATCCATACAGGATGTAAATATTAGCCTGCCCTAATATGAACTGACTGAAACTCTGTTTGTCTGGACTTTTGCCAGTCAGGAATGTCTTCAGTGATTTTTTCTTTCCCAAACACAGAATCTAAATACCCCAAATAGACCAGATCCTTTTAATAGGAGATAAATACAAACATAAATTTCAGTTTGTTGTTAAGATGATTAACCAGCAATGCAGCAGTCATTTGGTTAGTGAAGATCATTTATGCTTTGAATCTTGACTGGGTGAGTAGATAACACTTTATTTAGTTTATTAGTCAATAGTGACCTCCTACGAATACCAAGCAACCTGCTGCTACAACATACAGCAACACCTCAGAAAGAGGTGATACATTGAGATCTCCAACAAGTGTGATAAACATTTAATGGTCTCTAACTCTAGCTGCTTCCCTTGGATACTCAATGCTGGCTTGCACACTATTGCACTTTTTATTGAGTTATTCAACTGTGTTGGACTCACCTGTAGTTTGGTTTGCTGTGATATCAGCTGCTTCTGTAAGCATAAAAAACAATCCCATAAGAACATGAGATGAGGAAAATTCTTCACTTGATGAGTTCAAAAACAATTTGATGGCAAAAACATACACATAGCTTACGATTTTCTGTCATTTTATTTAAAAGGAACTTCAGTAAGTTTTCCCAAAGGAAAAAGCATCATGGCAAATCAGATTTGGGTGTCTTATTTACCGTCTTTCATTTTCAAACAAAGCATTCATCATACTTTATAGTGTTCAGTAGATAATTTTTCTGAGTTAAATGAAACAGTTCATTTAAGTGTAACTTTTGAACTTGGATTATAACCTGGAAATATTCCAAAAAGAACTTTTCTCCTTAAATATGAGTCTTTTAAAAGAGTGATATACCTGGAATTGTTATTTTAAATCCTGGATTTGATGCTTTTGGCTTACCTGTTGATTGTAAATATTTTTGGAGTGTTAGAGTGGGAGAGGTCATATTAGTCTCAAAACTTGTTAAGTATCACCATACATTTACATATATTAATGATGAAGTACCAGTCTGACATCTTGAAATGTTCCTAATAAATACTGTCTTTGTATGCAACAGCCACCAAGTGATTTTGTCACATAAAGCTTTACATACAATCTTGATCATGATTTGTTTTTACCTTTGCAATAGAGACTTCAATTCATTATTTTACTTCCACTGGCTTAGTTTCTTTCTCCATACCATAGATCCTTGTCAATTTATGGTCTAATTAATCTTCATTACAAACATTAAGTAGCCTTTGATATTAAACAGCTAATAAGGAATAAGAAATTGCCTTTCTCCTTTTTCTTTGAAAGAAAATTTACTTCCATTTCTGCCTGTTTTTCAAGTGCTGTAAGTGAGGGTGTGTCATCTTCCACCGGCTCCTTCTTTTGAGCGGCCTGGGTAGACGGAGAAGCCGGTTTTGGGCTTAGAGACGAGGCACTAGGTGGAGGAGACGGTTTATTTGACTCGATAAGCGCGAGTAAGTCGGTACCCAGGTCCTCAAGGCTGTTCGACTTGCTGGATTTGTTTCCATCCGATTCGGGGAATTTGTGAATGAAAATTAATTTTTTGACACCTGAGAATTAACATTAGAGTATCGTTAATATTAGGATTGGTATTTTTGTTTTTAGCGGATTGTCCAAAAAATCAAACTTCCAAACCTTTTCTTTTACTCGCTTTAGCAGCTTCAATCTGTAATTCCCTAATGGCCTGTTCGGTCGCCCTCTTTAAATCTTGAAGTGTGGACATCTCCGATTTTTCAGATTCCTCTTCGTCCTCAGAATACTTATACTCAGCCTTGAGTTTCCGTAACTTCGCTCGTAACCTTCTTAATTTCACTTTCAAATCCTGCAAAATTTCATCGAAACCTCAGTCGTGGTGACCAGCAAGCTGTGTCATTCACGACCTGTTCCATTAACCTCATTATCAGCTAAAAAGGGGTGAACCACAAAGACGAAAATTTTGACGAGCCTATTTTTACTTTTCACCTTAAGTTTCTTTTGATGTTCCTTATTGGCCTTTAATTGAACCTTCAAAGCCATTTCTGATGGAGAGTACAAAGCTGTTGAATAGCTTGGTCGCTTGGGCTTGTCACTGGCATGTGCATGCACCGTTTGTCCAGGGACGATAGGTGCGATGGCCAACGGGCGCTGCATGTAATTAGGTAAACTCTGCTCATCAGGTGCATCAGAAGGCTGTGAATCCTCTAACTGCACAGATAGAGACAAAAGATCTCAGTATGTTTATGGATATTTAAGCGTTGACAAATGTCCTGGTGGCTTTCATATATAAAAACACGCACTTTTTCCAAGATGAAAAATTAAAGGCGATTGTGAAAATGAGTCGCTCAAATACATAGTAATGATTCATAAAGAATGTACTAAAACAGTGGATATCGTCGAAAGCCTACTCTGATTGGCTACTCAAACTCCGAATATCCTTAGCTATTCACCTCCGAGCAACTCACGGGGGACTTGCGCCATCAGAGTCGGTGACCAGGGGTTAATATTTACCTGGCCGCCTCGCGGCTCGGTAAATGTCCACCTTTAGCCACCTTCACTTAAGTAAATAGTTATTAAATGTACCAGGTGCTTCTACTCGATGAAGGGTTTGTGGCGCTTCACTTTCCCATCCGATTTGTTTAACAGACCTGACATGTATCACAGTTTCGGCGGTTAGAGAGTTTGGCTGAAAATGGTTGTTTTATTTTTGAGGAAAATGCGAACAATTCATGTTTTTTTGCTATGATGTAAAGTTTTCTCATTTTGTGGTTTATACGTCCATATTCCTCTTACCTCGGAATTAGTGTCATCCTGGCTACCCATGGCCCCTGCAGCATGCCCCATTCCTCCTATTTTCATCCCGTGTCCCATTGCACCTATTCCCATTCCCATTCCCATCCCATTTCCCATATTACCCATATCACTGCTCATACTATTTCCCATGCTTCCCATTCCTCCCAGTCCTTCGACCCCGTTATCCATCCCGTTTCCCATCCCATTTCCCATCCCGTTTCCCATCCCGTTCCCTCCCATTTTGCTTCCCATTCCGTTCCCCATCCCAAGGTTAAGCCCCAGTGATCCAAGATCAAGGTTTCCCATGTCCCCTCCCATGTTGTCATTGCTGTTGCTCATGCGTCCGCCACCACCAGCCATTCTTCCTCCGCCGCCGCCGCCGCCACCACCTCCCCCACCTCCTCCCCCGCCGGCCATGATTTGCCCCAGGAGCTGCTGCAGGGAACTATCAGACATGCCATTACCACCAAGTTCGTCCATACCAAGATCCATTGCTGTGAATGTACAAGACAATTGGACACTAGCATCACACAAAGTGTTAATCTCATATCAAGTTTGATATAACCCCAAAGCTGTGAGTTTTTAGGCATATGAGTTTAATATCTGTTCTAGGACTTAAAATTGTTTCCTTTTTATCTTCAACGTAGTGGTTTTGTAGTAAGGACCACTTTTTATGTGTTAAATTTATGGACAAAGAAGTATGCCTGTCGTACCTTGGCATTCGTTTATGTTAGATTGTAAT